AACATTCATTCAAAGTCTGACATTCATAGAATCAGTAGATGTAAAAGCGTTTTTACACCTGCACAACGGACAGAAAGAAGAATATTTTATTAACACCTTATTCTTTCAGAAAAAAAATTGCGTACCAATTCACGTGTTTAATTGTGGAGGTGCTCGTGTGTGATGAAAATAATGTCGTCATACGCATATTAATTGATACTTGTTCGTGACCATGCTCTATAACATCATATTTTGTGACTGGCTGTAATATTCCCAAGCTTTCAATTTTCCTTTGGAAAGCGTGATTAAAAGCAGAAATCAGGGAAACTCGAAAAATTAACCCTTTCTAAATTTGATACTGTGCATGACATGCAGCCCCATTTTCCTGCAACATGTTTGGGGAAAATGTAGGCCTTCAATGCAATAATATGTGACATTATCCTACTTTTGCGTTTCCCAAAGTATTCAATGTTCAATAATATTTGACTGGTGTTATGCTTTACTTGAGCAAGTACCGGGTGGATTTTTTTTAAATGTAGGCCTTCAATGCAATAATATGTGACATTATCCTACTTTTGCGTTTCCCAAAGTATTCAATGTTCAATAATATTTGACTGGTGTTATGCTTTACTTGAGCAAGTACCGGGTGGATTTTTTTTTGAGGAAAAATCAGGGCACGAAATCGTGATGTGCTTGAGTTGTATGGGGGTAAACTTAAAAAAGCATGCAAGTCATATATGTGCACACAGTATTATATTTACTGTATCTGAAAAAGGCAAGAAGAGGAAGATCATGAATATATATCCAGGTTGGATTTGAAAAAAATCTTTCCATAGTTTTGAATATGTTGTCTTGAAAACGTATTAGCTTTGACAAACTTCTTCTGAAGCTTGCACAAGTTGGTTGTAGCAAGATTTTACTTCAACTCAGTAGTCTATATTGAGGTTGTACTGCAAATAATCCAAGCACCACCTCCACAGGGCTAAAAAAAAAAAGCCAGGCATACATTCATACATTTCCATCCTTCCTTTCTGATAACAGGGAGCGTGATCAACCTTGGCAGCATGGTGGGCGCCATTTTCTCCGGGTGGATCGGTCAGCGATTCGGTCGCAAATGGCCAAGCATCTTGGCCATGGTACCATACAGCCTAGGCTGGGTCTTGGTGGCATATCCCAGCAGTTTCGGCATGATGATGGCTGGACGCTTGGTGTGTGGTGTGGTTCAGGGATTCAGGGCTCCCATAGCCAGGATGTACATGGGCGAGGTTGCGCATCCTCGCTACAGAGGTCGCTTCCTGTCTGCGATATTCATGCTGGTCATGGCTGGATCCTTGGTGAACTACGTGCTGGCTCTGGTGCTCAACTGGCGCCATCTGGCGCTGCTCAATGCAGCAATTCCTTTGGCATTGCTGCCGATACAAGTGAGTGGAACGACTGAACACAGGAAAGCCTGTGACCTGCGTGACCTGTTCGATTCCTATACGGTTGTTCGAAACCACCTGGCACAGGAAATATTTTCGCGTGCCATGGAAACTCCGCCAAATGCCATGAAGAACATGAAAAACAAATTTTCGAATTAACGCTAAGATAGAGTGATGAAGTGAAATACATTTTCGAACTGCACGAGAATTGAGCGAAATTTTCGTTCGTTTCATTGCTTTAATATCTATTATTATCGCGAAAGAAATTGTTCATTAGAGGCCGTTGAGAAACGCTCAGAATGAATACAGCATTTTCGAAACGAAGCAAACAGCGTGAGCAGTTTGAAGATTTATGCAAAGTTTATTTGCCTTTAAAAACTTGAAACGAACAAAAATCAATCAGTGCAGAGTTTCGTCCAACACTTGACGTAAGAACAAAGACAAATTGCTTTACTTATCTAACATTATTTGTCAAAAAATTGAAGAAGTTTTATGAGGCACCATTTACACTGGTCTGGTGATCTGAGACGATGATGATAACATGCAATAAATAATCGTACAGTGTCTGCAAAAGCAATTGACGCAGAAATACATTTTTGCAAAAATAGATTATTAGCCAGAGTGATCGAAATAACGACATTATTCGGCGCTGATTTTATTCTGTTAATCCGAAAGTTTGGTAAAACTTCATTTTACAGCAGTAGTAATAATCCTGGCATTTGACTTTCGGAGTTCACAATTTGAAAATGACAAAAAAATCATTTTCCGTTTTTGACCGTAGTTTTTTCAGCATTAATGAGTGAAAACGTTGATCTGTTCCGTTGTGCCAAATCTTTGGGCGTTGAGCAGTCATTTCGCTTTTGTGTGTTTTTGACCACATTTATTTGTGTCAGTACTATCAGTAGTTCAGTACTTTGTCCCACATGCAACAGTTTTTCACACGCCTGCCTTCAGTCTTGAGAGGTTGACACGACATTGTCATTGATTTCTATACTAGGTCAGGCATAAAAGTTTGAAGACGTGAAAGCGTGCGATCTTGTGCTTTCATTCTGTGGTTTACAAGTTTATTACCTATACTGGCCTCCAGAAAAGTGGGTCAGATATTTTCTATTCCAATCAGGTCAATTATTTCCGTTGAAAATGTGTGTGTGCCGATGTGGAAAGAAAAGAACTTTCACAATGTATGAAAGTTTTACAAGGAGTATGAGTTGCTAGCTGTTTTTTTGCGTGGTTGAAATACGCCATTTGGCTTTAATTTTGTTGAGAAGTTCAACTTTTTTCACATTTCCACGTAGTAAAATATTTAATTTGGAACTTGGACAGCTTCTGTGTTGAAATCACCGCAAGATAGGGTCCGCGTACGTTTTTATTTTCAACTGTTATTCATCAAGTGAAGTAATGGACAATTTAAAAGGTTGTTCAGAAGTCTCGGTCAATTTTCCCGGGATGGACACGAGGGAAATCAATTATCAGCTCATGATCCAGATGCAATTATTTTAAAATTGGTTCCAGTACAATAGATGCTTAACCGAACCTTCTGTGGGCAACAGTCGTTGGGTTTGAGTTGTATGGGGGTAAACTTAAAAAAGCGTGCAAGTCATATATGTGCACACAGTATTATATTTACTGTATCTAAAAAAGGCAAGAAGAGGAAGATCATGAATATATATATCCAGGTTGGATTTAAAAAAAATCTTTCCATAGTTTTGAATATGTTGTCTTGAAAACGTATTTGCTTTGACAAACTTTTCCTGAAGCTTGCACAAGTTGGTTGTAGCAAGAATTCACTTTATCTCAGTAGTCTATTGAGGTTGTATTGCAAATAATTCCAGCACCACCACCAAAGGGCTGAAAAAAGTAAGACTTACATTCATACATTTCCATCCTTCCTGACTGATAACAGGGAGCGTATAGTTGGAACCGTCGTACCACCCGCGGTAAAAGAGGCCCACCTAGCCAGTCGCTAAGCCAGCGTTTACCGGTTCGTAGAACCGGTACCATGGTATGTCGGATCCGACCCAGAACCACCGTATAGGGTGCAGTTTTGGCATGATGATGGCTGGACGCTTGGTGTGTGGTGTGGTTCAGGGATTCAGGGCTCCCATAGCCAGGATGTACATGGGCGAGGTTGCGCATCCTCGCTACAGAGGTCGCTTCCTGTCTGCGATATTCATGCTGGTCATGGCCGGATCCTTGGTGAACTACGTGCTGGCTCACCACGAGTTGACCGCGGTAGACCGCGACGAGTTACGTCGTTAAGGAAACCGTAACGACGGCTATGTTCACTCACCTTGCTGACTTGTGTCCTTTCGGACACTGGACGCACTGGACAAGCTAAGGATCACAGTAGTTCGAAGCTAGCTGGCTCACGAAGTAATTCCGCGTGCCATGGAAACTTCGCCAAATGCAATGAAGAACATGCACACAAAAAATTTGCGAATGAACCCTAAGATAGACTGAAAATAACAAAGCCACTTCAGTTCACCAAGGAAATAAATTTTCGAACTGCGCGAGAATTGGGCGAAATTTTTGTTCGTTTCATTGCTTTAATATCTATTATTATCACGAAAGAAATTGTTCATTAGAGGAGTACGTTGACAGAACAGTTAGGAAACGCTCAGAATGAATACAGCATTTTCGAAACGAAGCAAACAGCGTGAGCAGATTGAAGATTTATGCAAAGTTTATTTGCCTTTAAAAACTTGAAACGAACAAAAATCAATCAGTGCAGAGTTTCGTCCAACACTTGACGTAAGAACAAAGACAAATTGCTTTACTTATCTAACATTTGTCAAAAAATTGAAGAAGTTTTATGAGGCACCATTTACACTGGTTTGGTGATCTGAGACGATGATGATAACATGCAATAAATAATCGTACAGTGTCTGCAAAAGGAATTGACGCAGAAATACATTTTTGCAAAAATAGATTATTAGCCAGAGTGATCGAAATAACGACATTATTCGGCGCTGATTTTATTCTGTTAATCCGAAAGTTTGGTAAAACTTCATTTTACAGCAGTAGTAATAATCCTGGCATTTGACTTTCGGAGNAATTGACGCAGAAATACATTTTTGCAAAAATAGATTATTAGCCAGAGTGATCGAAATAACGACATTATTCGGCGCTGATTTTATTCTGTTAATCCGAAAGTTTGGTAAAACTTCATTTTACAGCAGTAGTAATAATCCTGGCATTTGACTTTCGGAGTTCTTTACACTTTGAAAATGACAAAAAAATCATTTTCCGTTTTTGACCGTAGTTTTTCCAGCATTAATGAGTGAAAACGTTGTTCTGTTCCGTTGTGCCAAATCTTTGGGCGTTGAGCAGTCATTTCGCTTTTGTGTGTTTTTGACCACATTTATTTGTGTCAGTACTATCAGTAGTTCAGTACTTTGTCCCACATGCAACAGTTTTTCACACGCCTGCCTTCAGTCTTGAGAGGTTGACACGANCACCATTTACACTGGTCTGGTGATCTGAGACGATGATGATAACATGCAATAAATAATCGTACAGTGTCTGCAAAAGCAATTGACGCAGAAATACATTTTTGCAAAAATAGATTATTAGCCAGAGTGATCGAAATAACGACATTATTCGGCGCTGATTTTATTCTGTTAATCCGAAAGTTTGGTAAAACTTCATTTTACAGCAGTAGTAATAATCCTGGCATTTGACTTTCGGAGTTCACAATTTGAAAATGACAAAAAAATCATTTTCCGTTTTTGACCGTAGTTTTTTCAGCATTAATGAGTGAAAACGTTGATCTGTTCCGTTGTGCCAAATCTTTGGGCGTTGAGCAGTCATTTCGCTTTTGTGTGTTTTTGACCACATTTATTTGTGTCAGTACTATCAGTAGTTCAGTACTTTGTCCCACATGCAACAGTTTTTCACACGCCTGCCTTCAGTCTTGAGAGGTTGACACGAAATTGTCATTGATTTCTATAATAGGTCAGGCATAAAAGTTTGAAGATGTGAAAGCGTGCAATCTTGTGCTTTCATTCTGTGGTTTACAAGTTTACCCATACTGGCATCCAGACAAGCGGGTCAGATATTTTCTATTCCAATCAGGTCAATTATTTCCGTTGAAAATGTGTGTGCCGATGTGGAAAGAAAAGAACTTTCACAATGTATGAAAATTTTACAAGGAGTATGAGCTGCTAGCTGTTTTTTGTGTGTGCTTGAAATACGCCATTTGGCTTTAATTTTGTTGAGAAGTTCAACTTTTTCACATTTCCACGTAGTAAAATATTCAATTTGGAACTTGGACAGCTTCTGTGTTGAAATCACCGCAAGATAGGGTCCACGTACATTTTTCTTTTCAACTGTTATTCATCAAGTGAAGTAATGGACAATTGAAAAGGTTGTTCAGAAGTCTCGGTCAATTTTCCCGAGATGGACACGAGGGAAATCAATTATCAGCTCATGATCCAGATGCAATTATTTTAAAATCGGTTCCAGTACAATAGATGCTTAACCGAACCTTCTGTCGGCAACAGTCGTTGGGTTTGAGTGAATTCTTTGAAATCACACTATTAAAATTAGAAAATCGTAATAAAAAATATTTAAAACCCTAAAATACCATACTCCAAAGAGTTAGACAGCAACGGGACAGAAAATGATTTGCCATTTCTTTTATTCGATCCCAAATACACACAGTATAAAAACTTGAGGTACATCAAACGAAAAGAAGACAGTGAACGAATCAAAAGAAAACTTTGACTGATCTGATCTGTGCCACTTTTTTCCAAATTGAATATTGCAAGATTAAGTGAAATGGAAGTTGACCAAGTGGAATAACATGAGCAAAAAGCAAACATCGCTTATTGCCTACAATGCTCCAGAACCAGTACTTTTGTGACTACCGCTCATATCCCTTGTAACGTACAAGACATCGTATTCCCGAGTATTGTTTTCTATTTGGATTTACTAGTCTGAATCACATGTTTGGCTCAGCAGAAAAATACAGTACCAGAAATAAAGAGCTGCCTACCGTGCATAATACGGCATAAACACAACATAAATTGCTTGTAATAATAATCAGGAAATAATGCAAGTTATCTATTCATGGCCCAGTTTCCTCCACATGAAGATACCCGTTCATGTGCAAGAGTTTGAAGTCCTTATATCCAATTCTATTTCTTTGAAAAACGCCCGAACTGTTCACAATACACTCATCAGAAGCTTCGAGGGAATTATTCTTCATCATTTTCTTCCATTGATCAAATAAAGGCAGGCAATTTAAAGCAAAGTTTGATAAATCACCGTTCGAATAAAACAGTTGCAGTTAATAAATAAACAAAAAATAATGGTAGGGAATTCCATCGACATTTGTTGAGTCAGTGTTCTTCGGAATGATCATTCGGGCTGTTTTCTGGGAGATAAATAATAATATACCGTGAGGCCTTCTGATGCATGGATTCCGCAACAAATGGGAAATTTGGCTTGGAGGGGCACTTTGAACGCAAAAAATCTAATTCGAAATTTGAATGATGTATGAAAAGAACTTTAAACACTCTGCTGACGTTTCCAGAAATGAATTTTGACCGGATATTTCTCTTGAACAAATTGAGAAGCTGCTATGGACACGGACTCAAGATTAACCATTATGAATTTACTCCACTTTATTTTCCTATAAACAAGAAGATTTTTGGATGGCCAACTCTAACCCATTTGTGGAGCAAGATTCTAAGTCTGGACTTATACTTTTCAGCTTTACTTGCCAGAATCACACGTTTGGCTCATCACAAAAGGCCGGAAAGTCGAAGCCATGGATGCCCTGCGTTGGTTCCGCGGCGAGGACTACCTTTATGAACAAGAACACGCCGCTACTGTGAAACACTTCGAAGAAACGCGACACGCTGTCGGTTCGTGGCGAGATATCGTCAAATTCCAGTACCTGAAGCCAGTACTCATCCTGATTGTGTGCATGTTGCTGCGTCACTTTTGCGGTAACACGGCCATCATGTTCTTCATGTCGCAAATTTTCGTATTGGCTCGGTCGGGATTGGAGACGAGATACGCAGTTATTGCGTTGGGGGTCGTGCAATTGGTCTTCATCATTTTGTCTGGGCAAATGATGGACCGGATGGGCAGGAAGAAGTCCACAGTTATTTCCGGTGTGGTGATGGGATTTGCTCAGGCTGGCATGGGAACGTATTTCTACTTCATGGAGTCCCCAACTTTGCAACCCATCGCTGCAAGGTAAATTTATTTTGTTGTGTGTGCCATATTTTTAAAATCTTTTTTCGCATGCGAGAAAATATAATTCAAAATTTTTCTTTAGTATCGTCATTTATCTGATTTTCTGAGTCAGAGTATAACAGAACTTTGGGACCAAGATAGCAAGGCAGTTGCTGTAAACCTGGATTCATTTGTTGCAGATTACAAACTTCACCTCTAATTCTTGCTCGATACCGGTTGAATCACCGATTGACGTTTTAGGACAAATTTCGAATCCTCCCCTCCCGATCATAAATCTAGAAAAAATCGGTAATGATTCCAAATGAGGAACATTTCTTCTCGGAAGTTTTTTATGATAACTTTTCAACATGTTCTGTGACTTTTTGAATTGCCTGAGGGTAATATGCAAGGCAGATGAACTATATCAGTCAATCATCATACTGATATTGCAACATACATATGTTGCCTTTTCAATATTTTGTCTTCATCCCTCTATTTCAGCCCAAGCAAGCAAAAACTGAAAAAATTTACTGAAGTGATGACGCATTTGTATATGCCCTAAAAAATTTTAATACACATTACTGTATTTAGGAAGAAAATAGAAAGGTCAACTGACAAGAGTGTCTCTTGATAGTTTGGAATAGGCCCTCATATCTTAGTTACTAGCTGTGAACTTTCCTATGCTTGTCCTGCAGTTATTTCTGTTTGCATTTGGTTTGGATCTAGGACAAATCAAGGCAGACAATTTGGTACAGGGCCAATTTGAGAGAAGGCCAATTTGATGAAAGGCCAATTTGAGATAGGGCCAAATTGAGGCAGATACTTTGGGAGACAGGGAAAATTTGAACCATAAATTTTTTGAAACAAGGACAATTTGAAACCGAAACTTTTGGAGACAGGGATAATGTGAGACTGAAATTTTTTTGAGACATGGAAAAATTGTGACAAAAACATTTTGAGGATTTGAGATATTTTGAGACACATACATTTCAAGATAAAATGACTTGACTGTCTTTCTCCATATTATCTAATGATTGTGGTGTGAAAATCAACAAAAATGTCACTCCTATATTTGGTGAAAAGTCCATGATCCCAGGGTGTTTATCTTTTTTGTCCATCATCACTGTCCAGAGTGTTTTCCGCATCAAGGAAAAACTCAAATCTTAGATCTAACCTAAGCAGATGCCTCTCCTCATCAAAATAGTTTTTGTCTGAATTTGTCCCTGCCTCAAATTTTCTGTCTCCATTTGTCCATTCTAGAATTGTCTGTCTTGATTTATCTGTATCCCGTTTGGTTCATTTTAAAGTCCATATTGATGAACCAAATGCAGCAGTTGCAGAATTCGAACGTGACGTTTCATTTACCAGATTACAGTAAAAAAATAAATTCATCTCCTGTGTCTCGAAAATGTTAAAAAGCAATTTCTTAAAAATAAAAGAACGTGAGCATTTTCAGAAAGGAAAAAATGCGGGTCACATTGAGAAGGACGGTTCTCTGCTGTGAAATGAGTATACTCTGAGAACACACGTTGATTGCTTCTAAACTTAGATGTCGCTCCAAAAGTAATCGTCCCGTCCGTTCCGTTCCGTAGGCACAACTGGCTTCCGCTTGCTCTCCTATCCTTGTGTATGGTCGGATATGCTCTTGGAATCGCATCAATCATCATCGTTCTCTCTGGAGAAATCGTTCCAATGCAAATCAAGAATCACACCAACGGGGTCATCAATTTTTTCAACACTGGTTTCGCATTCGTCGCCCTGGAAACGTTTCATTATTCCTTGGACGCGGTCCGAGCATCCGGAACGTTCTTCCTATTTTCTCTGTGCTGCTTCGCTCTCGTCGTGTTCTTCATGGTTGCATTACCCGAGACCAAAGGGCAGTCTTTGGAGGAGATCGAGCGACGGATGACGAATCGACGACCAGTGACATCTATGTCACGTCGACGATTGTCCATCGCCACAAGGCCCAGTACAACGATGAGACCCAGGACTAGTCGGATTGAGACAATCCATGAAGGAGAAGTCATTTCAACACCCTTCAAACTTCCACCCATAGTTCGGATGCCAGTCGAAGACAGACCCGTTGCCTGAACTGCATTATTAATATTTTTTTTTTTTTACCAGGCATACACTATTGAGGGGCATTTAACGAAAAAAAATCAGCTTGTAATCCTTGCAGAAGGTCCCGTCGAAAATGTTGAGGCTGAGAGGAGCAGGGGAGGATTTTCGATGATCTTTGTTTCTTGGCGGAAAATTGGTCGTTTTTTTGAGGGGTTGGTAGAGAATTTGCTCCAGTTGCTGTTGGATAACGGAGAGAAGTCCGTTTTTACGTGCATGCTGTAAAATAAATCATGCACCAACTGATTTCGCTGTTGGTGAGCTCTGAAATATCAAGTTTCGAAGTACGGAAGATCAGAAAAGGTGATATTGACCTTCTGAGGAAGTTGATGACGGTGAAGCACTTGTTTTGTGGCATTTCCTTGGGTCCCCGCAAGTGAATTTTTAAATGATTTTTTTTTTCAAAGTGCTGATCTATCTTGAAACTTATTTTTACGCGTCCCAATGAGAAAATTTAGGAATTGGCAACCCATAGCACACACATTTTGCAAAGTCGTTCGCATTCAAGAGAATTTGACATGGCATGGAACGTAGCGAAAAAATAATAATTTCAGCATTCTTTACGCCATAAAAATTACACAATACAAAGCGGGAACCCAAAAATAGACACGAGCAAAGATCGATTAAAAAAATACCCGTATTCAAGAAATTCATGATTTCCGTTCGCAATTACGAAAGAATGTTCATCATTTGTCGTTCAGAATTCATACTCGTATTATTCAATCGCATTTCAACGAACAGTGTACCCGAAATATTGGAACACGTTTTTCCTGCTCCTGTGGTTTTATCCAAAACTCATCCGTGCCAATTTATAGAATGTTCTTGTCATCAATTTTTGAATTTTCAACTGACAGACTCTATGGAAGGAAATCATTTTCGGGGATTGAAAGAAAACAAACCCACGATTTCAAAATGCCCGGTAATTGACGTGAATATAAGGCTTAATCGAAAAGTTTGGCAGATTGTTGATCTTGTGTTGATCAGTTTCTTACGAAAGTTTCATCCAAAATACCTGAATATGTCCCCGTATATAATACGGACAATTAGGATTCATACGACAACGAGTACATATGTCAACCTTATATCATATTTACTCCGCTATCTCCTGTGAAGTACGAGCTCCGACTTTCAAGAGGAAAGTTGCCAAATATTCGTAGGAAACATATCGACATTTTAGAGCTACTTTTTTTCCAATTTTCGAGGATGAGGTTTCTAAGGTACACATCCTTATGCTGCAATAAATAACCTAACGAAAATACAGTAGTAGAAAAGTTCAAAATATTTTCAAAGAATGCTTCCTTGAAACCATTTGTTGTACTTATAGTCCCTTGGAGAAACGAAAATTCTGTGACCAAATTCTGTTTTTTTTTTAACACCGCCAATGGAAAAACTTACACGCTGACATCGTGTTTCTGAAGTGGAAAACACAAACAAATGCATATTTCTTTGTTTTCAGAATGCCAGAAAATTCGTTGGAAAATTTTGCCTCACAAAAAGGTGAATGAAAACGACTGAGATAAAGTTTAGGTGTCTCTTCCACGATCTTCAATCATCATTTTGCACAGGTCTTATCAAATATTTCCTAAATTTCCTAGATGGCCGAAAAAGTCGGATGAGAAAGCAGGACACAGAATATTTCTTTTCGCCGATTCGAAAGATTCACTTCATGCTAACACTTCTCCAGTTTCCAATTCAATATGCAAAGTATCTCCATCACTAGAAAAGCGCAAAACTGATCGTTTCCTTTCCCAGCAGCTTTTCATTCCAAGAACAGGCACTTCAATAATTCCGTGCGTTGTGTTCTTCGATGCACAAAAAAAAAACCGAGACTTTACCTGTGATTGGCTAAATTGGGGAAAGTGACTTTTGAAAAGTGATTTCGAAGGAACAAAAAGGAAAATCGAAAGGCTTTTTTCGAACTATACGTGATGGAAATATTTACCTTCCTGAGTTCAAAAGAGATGCAGAGACTTATCTGAAGAAACGTATATTCAAAATTTTACGACAATGATATACAGTACTATATATATTTGCTGAACTGGTCATTTGGCTTTTTTTTTTTTTGCGATGGAACGATTGAGAGAAAATATAGATGTGCTTCTTTCAGCCTGCGACTTCTTCCTTTTCTCTTTGAAAACATTACTTTTATTACTCGTTTTCAGCGTTTTTGAATCGATGTGAAAATTAAAAGCACGTTTGTTGCAAGAAATGCCTGACAAATCATGTTTACCTCGCATTTATAGCGATGTTCCGAACAAGAATGTCTGAATAGCCGAAAAGCATGACTGAAGCTGTGATGGAAAGGTTTTTTTTGGTATTGGATGACTTGTGCATCTGTTCCAGCAATTAACAAAACTCATCACTGCAGAATAGTAAAGAATACTATTCCTATGGGCGAGTCACTTCGTATCATAAACTCTGAGATCTGCTCACGATTTCAAAATTTGCTATGTTCTCAGAAACATGCTGTCCTTCTGTGGTTGTGCGTTTACCCTGGAGGTAATTGGAAGACATTTTACCATTTTTGCTCGCGAACGGCGCACATGGCACAATGAAACCGTATCCTGGTGTGCTTTATGCTGCACTGATTTCCATCACCAGAATATAAAATAAGGTAATAATGTACACCTGATGGAAGCCATCTTTAATTGTTTTCCATACACAGAACACATTTCATAACATCAATCCCCCTCACAGATTGAAGAAACAAATGGGAATGGGCAGAATCTCCATAACTTGAGGGATTGTCAAAATATATCATTAAACATTTATTCATTATTTTTGATATCAGACATTTTAAAATAAATCAACAATATGTTGGGTGATCATGCAGCAGTTCACATTCCTCAATACAGCCATGGCTTAAAATATGCATATACTATTAATCTCTGTTCTATTAAATTGTCAATTTTGGGAATATGTCAGAGCAATGATGGCAGGAGAAAAGCATCCAGTCAAAAATTGCCCAATGGGGCATGACCTATTTTTCCAAAAATTGAACTGCAGTATTCACATTTTAATTCTGATTTAAAATAATTTCATTGCTTATTTTTGGAAGGAACAAAAAGGAGTACTTCATTTAATCCTGAATAGAGCAGATTTGGTGCATCATTAAGTTGGTACTTTGAAAGAAAGTTTAGTCAATTTGGTGTTGGAAAATGTATGAGCAGAAAAGTATGAAATTTGGTAAAGAATGTCTCTGTGGTGTGAATCTTATAACAAGGTGGGCAAAAATACTTTGGCTGTCCAGTGGCAGGGTTTGTATATTATGCTTACTGTGTCAATTTCTGAGGGAATTTATACTTTATTCTGCATTCATTCTACTTGAATCTGTTCTGCTAACAGTAAGCTGGTCAGAGAATTCTGAGAAAGGGTAAAAAAGAACACCTGTTTTGCACCTGTTGATTAACTGTGAGTATTGGGGAATTTCCTGGGTCACTACAATGCTTTGGTTTCTTCACAAATCCATGCTGCTTTTAACTCTCAATTCTCATATGATCCTGATTTGAACTTACAGGGATTAAGCCTTAGAATGGTGCATCATAAAGAGGAGATGCATACAGTGTTCTGGAAAAAATGGCACAGTTCATACTTGCTCACTTTAAGCTCAGAAAGAGGATGAGGAAGATCTTGTTTCATCCAGCTTAAAATAGGAGATCAAGCGCTTGTAAATGAACAATATGCCAATGGTTTTATCAACCTTTTGGAACCAGGCAAAATCATGAAAGTGTATTCCTCCTGCAATGGGGTCATACAGAAAGTTGATGTCAAAACCTCAAAGGGAATAGTGACTAGACAGACTAATTGAATTTATAGTCACTGGACAGACAAATTATTGAAGCATGGCAAAGCTTAGAATTTCAACTTGCCTTTGGGCCTGAGTGTAAGATTCAGTAGGCCAAAGCCTGGAATGAAATGAACAACTCCTCCTTTACAAATTTTATCTGAGGAAAATATCCTGGATGAGAAATGTATGTACTCAAATAAAAGCAGAGATGCTAGTCTTTTCTAAAAAGTGGTTTTTACAACTGAAAAAGATGCCCCAAGGATTCTCAATTTACAGTTCCTGTGGCTTTGTCAGAAGATGAGAAAATAAATTGGTAGCCAAATTGGCAGGTGGGCAACCTGCCATGTGTTCTTGTTCTTGTTGAAATGTGTTCTTGTATGCACACAAGAGTATACAACACTTTTGTGCAACGCAAACGGATATCAGCTTCTTGCGTGAAGTAATTGTTCAACAAATACTGAATAAGTTTAAAAATTGCTGAGAATTTCACGCAGAGCTTTTGCAGCAATGAAGTCAGGTATGACTGATGATGATCCTGCTGGCAAGCTTGCCTTTTATGCTGATTCCGTTCTTTGCTTGTGTCCAAGGTCCATTGTCAGCAATGTTGAGGACTTCCGCCAAATCCCGGTAAATTTGGCCCAACTGTTGAGGGGCCAATTTATCGGGACACAGCACTTTAGAAAATACTTTTTCCCAAGAATTTGGATTTTTGGGAAGAAATGGGAATAAGTAAAAAAAAAAACCACAAGAATGGCATCTGCTCCTTTCAGGAAAATTTGACACGGGTTGTTTACATCCTTTTTTTGCGACGCATGTGCAGCAAACATCAAATTCCCCTTATTTTGGGGTAATTCAGTCCCTCATGAAACTGAGGAACCCCTACCATTTTTTCCGCGGGCTATGTCCTTGGCAGCTTAACTGCCATTGTCTTTTGGCATGCCAATCCACATTGGCATGCCCCTTTCAGAAATATAAATCCCAAAGTTTTTGAACTTTGGGGATGGTCAATAAATTTTGTCAAAAACATGACACAAAGTCTGACTCAGTTGGCAATTCTTCACAAAATCCCCCTTGTCTTCAGACGGATAGTTTTTCACAAGCGGAAAACACCACTTGAAGACAATATAAAAATCCTGAGGCAGATCTTTGTCCTTCACAGTTTTTGACTTGGTTTTCACAATGTTGGACAAGGGTTGAGATCTCACGGGAAGTTATTCCTGCAGTATCCTTCTGTTTGGCAAACTTGAATTTTGCACAAGTCAGAGAGGAAGCAAGGTCTTTTCCCATCAGGAGAAGACATACTAAGTAAAAAGTGAACTCTGGATAATTTTGACCAATTGTTGTATTGTGGATACTTTTGTCTTGGGTTTTTGTTTGATGTCAATTTCTGTGGGGATTTCTTCAGTAGCCAGCTGAAGTCCTTCCACTCTCCAGTGGAGGGGCGAATTTTCACAGCGCCCTGGAGAAGTTTCCTTGAATTGTTTCAAGGCATTGGGAGAGAAAAGGGGTGCGCACTCCTTTCTTTTTTAAAAACTCTACTCTGTGGTTTTTGGAACTTTTGACTCGTTCTGCCTGGATTTTCCAAATTCCTGGCTCCCTGGAGAAGTGGGTGTTAGAATTTCAACACACTTCCCCAGGTAGCCATTTTTTGCAAGATTGAAAGATCAACCAGGAACGATTCTTTGTTTTCTTTGCTTTTTTGTTCAAAGTGCAAAAACAGTTCAGTGTCATGGAAAAAAATGGAGGAAGGATCAAGAGCTTATTGCTTACAACTGGGTCCAGGGGTTTGAATGAACTCAACGTTCTCACCCTTGCTCCAGTTGAAAAGTGATTTTTTCTCAGTCATTGACCTCTTTTTTACCTCAGAGTTCCTCAAGAAGAGGGATGTCAATCATGGCTTGGCAAAATGAGTTGAGACAGTTCAAAATTCTCACCCACTCAGCCAGTCGTAGATGACGTTTCTCCTGAGTATTGGGAACAAGTTTTCTTTTAAAGTGAGAATTTGTCAAGTCTTGATTTTTCCGTTGCTTAATAAACCCAGGAAAACTGTTTTGCGTCCCCAGACGCGTCAATGATGGGTCTATTTCAAATTTGTATGGATGAGTACAAAGTAATGGCCAGTTTACCCCACTGCGGACTTGAAAGTTGACACGTCCACAGGGGACTCCAGTTAGACTAGTCTAAATGGGATGTGTCCAAGTTGCATCCACTGCGGATGCTATTGCCTTCAACTGTCATGCCCTCGAAGCAATGATTCTTGCGTTGCGTGTGAAGCAAGAATGCTTGCTTTGCAGGCAACTGGCATGGCAAAGCAAGGATTCTTGCTTCATGCGCAAAGCAAGAATCCTTGCTTTGCGGGCAACTGGCATGGCAAAGCAAGGATTCTCTCTTCACAGGCTCCTGATACCATCCACTGGGGGGTACCGGGTCAGCTGCCAGCCGTTCAATTCACGGTCGCGCACCTGCCAGCCATCAAATGCTGGTCCCTCCAATTGCCAGCCAGGGCAGTGCTTGGTCTCTCCAATCCCCAGCCCAGCAAACTGCGGTCCGGTCACCCGATTGTCGAGGAACCCCAACAATTGGGTGACATAGGATCCCATTGATTCTAAAATCCTGGTTGCAGTGTCTTTCCAGTCTTTGGGGAGCAGAATGGTTTCCTGCAACAGATATTTTTTTGCACAAAATTGCATCTTATAACCTAACCTAACCTAACCTAAACTAAACTAACCTAACCTAAATTAAACCAACATAAATTGAACTAACCTAACATTGCTGAAATTTTGCCAAAAAAATCATCTGTGGCAGGAAACCATTCTGATCTTCAAACAATGCAAAACAGGATTTTAGAATCAATGGGATCCTAGTCACCCGATTGTTGGGGTGCCCCAACAATTGGGTGACCGGACCGCAGTTTGCTGGGCTGGGGATTGGAGAGACCAAGCACTGCCCTGGCTGGCAATTGGAGGGACCAGCGTTTGACGGCTGGTGGGTGCGCGACCGTGAATTGAACAGCTGGCGGCTGACCGGACACGCCGCTGGGGACATGACCGCATTGGATGCTTTATGTTCCAGTCCACCAAGCGTAACTTCTGTACAAGTTCAAATATGTGTGATATGGACGCTTAGTTGTATGCGTCCTTTCCCTGTCCTTTTCAGACCCGCCCTGAATATTCGAAATAGGTTTTCCTGGAAAGTTTCTTATTTCCCCCTTTTTCTTTCCAGAGAAGGGGAATGGTTTATTTCCAAAAAAATATTTCAGTTTTTTTGTAAAAAGAGTTATTCAAAAAAAGGAAAGCTCTGACTAGATTTTGAAACAAGAAGA